GCATGAGATAGCTAGCTTTTGTGTTTTGGCGGGCAGGAGGTGCGCCAGTCCTGGGGCTTAAACATAGGGACTAGGCACTGTCCTTGAGACTTTTTGCTCAAGGATAGCACTCTACCATGGGAGCCATAACACTAATTCAATATTTTGGTTGCTAATTGGAGATAAGTCTCACGGACTTTCCTACAGAGCTGGCTTTGAACTGTGATCCTCATCTCAGCCTCTTATGTATCTAGTATTACAGCTGAGAACCACCAGTGCCCAGCTAAGTTTCTTGGTAACCAAAATGAGGAACTAACTGGATTCTCACTATCAGGTTTAAAACTTGAACACAGGACTAGAGTAGTAGATCACTTGCCTAGAATGAATGTATGAGGCCCCAAACTCAATACCTGCACTGCAGGAATAAAAAACCTGGACACTTTATCAGTACTGCAAGCAAGTACTTTAGCCCTATTAAGCTTTTGAGCACCACTTTGATACAGTGAAATGAAGCTTTAGGTAGTGTGGAGTTAAGTGTGTTTAATGATGTTCACCAACTGTATGCTGAAAGAACTTAATGTTTGCCCCTTAAGAAAAATATAATGCAAATCCTTTATTTACACATCACCTATCACCCAGAGAATGACACTGAAAGGAATGTTTATAAAGAACACATTCTGGGAAATGGAGGTGTGGATCAAACTAGCTTTGAGAAAAAAAAAGCCAGTGCAAGGCCTTGAGTTCAAGCCTCAGTACAAAAAAATAATACTCTTCTCTGCCTGTCTGGGCTGGAGGTGTAGCTCAGTGACAGTGTTTTAATCCCTAGCACAGGAAGAGAAAGGACAAATGTATAAATGTCATCAGAAACGTAGATGCCATCTTGATTTCTTTTTATTTTTAAGATTTTAAGTAGGCGTAAAAGGTGGGGATTATCACAATGTAACCCAGGCTGGAGTGGTTCTTCCACCTCAACCTTTGAAGTAATGGAACAGATACAGTCATCTGCCAGGACCCAACCACTTTAGGGACTAAAATTTTGCTAACTAGCAGGCTACCCAGCTCCAAAGAGGTACAGTGACTTATCCAACATCATCCAAAAAGCTTTTTTTTTGGTCAGTCGTGGGGCTTGAACTCTGGGCCTGGGCGCTGTCCCTGAGCTCTTCAGCTCAGGGTAAGCACTCTCACTTGAGCCACAGCAACACTTCCACTTTTTTGTAGTTAATTGAAGAGTTTCATGGACTTTCCTTCACAGGGCTGGCTTTGAACTGTGATCCTCAGATCTAGCCTCCTGAGTAGCTAGGATTGCAGGTGTCAACCACGGGCGCCAAGCTAAGCTGGCGTTTTATAAACACCCCAAATAAATATTCTGGCTGTAAATCTTCAGCAAAGGGCAGTGTTACGCATATAATTGAGAGATGAGAGAGCTTATGGGGCAAATCCAAGCTAGGGGTAAATACTAGTATCAGTGGAAACTACTTGGACATGAGTAATCTATAAACTAATAATAGTTTCACATTCTTAAGAATGAATATACAGGAGCTGAGAATGCGGCTTAGTAGAAGTGTTTGCCTAGCATGCATGAAGCCCGGGTTCAATTCCTCAGTACCACATAAACAGAAAAAGAAGTGTCACTGTAGTTCAAGTGGTAGAGTGCTAGCCTTGAGCAAAAGAAGCTCAGGGACAGTGCCCAGGCCCTGAGTTCAAGCCCCAGGACTGACAAAAAAAATATGTGTATACATAATTTATACTTTAAATAAATACCTCTGGCTTACTCTAGAAACAATTCTGACAAGGGCTCAAATTAAAAGTATTCTCTAGGGGCGATCAAATGGAGCGAAGTAGGCCAACCAAGTAAGTATCCCAGGCCTTCAATCTTCTTTAGTTCCTTCTTTCCATACCTACAGAATGTGTTCCCAGGAAACAGGGTAGTGTTGCCAGAGACTATAGAGAGGTGGCTAAAAGCAATGTGGTCTTACAGCCTAATTCACTTATGTGCCACTCAATGCAAAAAGAGTTTACTGCCTTCACTGGGACTCAAATATGCTATACTCACACCTACAAAGGTCTCTGCTGTGTTTTTCCACACCACCCCAGTCTCCCCTAAATATTGTTAACTCCTCAGTTTTATAAGATGGCTAGCATTCAGTGAGAAGCAACCATAAGCTTTGCACTTGTCACATGTTCCCATTTGACTCTTCCCTACACTAGCAGTCTACAAGCGAAGCCCTGAGTGGTTCAACCACTGTTAGCCATATATGATCTTTTTTTCTTGGCAGTGATGGGGATTAAATCCACATGCAATTGATCTCAAGAGTTACCTAGGTAGATTAAAGCCTCAATTTCTCCGCTTTTAACAGATTTTATAGATATCTAAGACATTTGGGTTACTATAAGTAAATACTGAAAAAACACTTTTAAAACAGTACTTGATACTACAATAAATCTTCAATGACCTAACCCAGGCAGAAGTTCCTAGCATTTCCAATAACACAGCTAAGAAACAGAGCCAGGATTCAAACTCAAGATAACAGTAATTGGTCATTTTTCAAATCCAATCCCATTGTCTTAACTACTGGTCTGACAGACTGTCTCCTTCTTAACCTACCACTTCCTAGCACTGCTTACTAACTATAACAAGTTTATTGAGGCAAGTCCCACCTTACAAACTGGAAGCTCAGCCCTAAGGATTAGGCATCTGAGCACTGCATTTCAAGTACTATAGTTTATAGTTTCAAATAGTTTATAGAGGTACACCTCAAACCTACTTTAAGAATCCTTTTCTGGGGGCTGGGAGGATGGTAGAGTGCTTGCCTTCAATGCACAATGGCCTGGGTTCAATTCCTTAGTACCACATAAGCAGAAAAGACTGGTAGTGGTACTGTGGTTCAAGTGATAAGAGTGCTAGCCTTGGGGGGGGGGGGGGGGGGAGATATGAATCTTTTTCTGAATTCTGGAATACTGTTTTGTTTTTTGGGGGGAAGGCTTGAACTCAGGGCTAGGCACTCCTGCTTGGCCTTTTTGGCTCAGCTCAACATTGCTGATATCTAGAGATAACAGAATCCCATGGACTGGCTTTGAACCTCAATCCTCAGATTTTTTATCTCCTTAGTTAGGATTATAGGCATAAACCACCAACACTAGGGCTGAGAAGATAGCTCAGTGGTAGAGCGTTTGCCTTGTATGCCTGAGGCCCTGGGTTCGATTCCTCAGTACTACATAAGCAAAAAGAAAAAAGCCGGGTGGGGCTTTGGCTCAAGTGGTAGAGCGCTAGCCTTGAGCTGAAGAGCTGAAGGACAGCGCCCAGGCCCAGAATTCAGGCCCCACTACCGGACCCAAAAAAAAATAAATAAAAAATAAACCACCAACACCCTGCTCTGTTCTAGACTCTTGACTTGTTTTGTTTTGTTGTCTGGTTTTTTTTGGTGCTCGTCTTGGGGCTTGAACTCAGAGCTTGGGCATTGTTCCATGAGCTTTTTCTCTATCACTTGACCCACAGCTCCATTTCTAGCCTTTTGCTAGTTAATTGGAGATGGATGACTTTTCTACCCTTGCTGGCTGCAAACCAGGATCCTCAGATCTCAGTCTCCTGAGCACCTAGGATTACAGGAATGAGCAAATGGCACCTGGCTCTTGACTATAACTTTTTAACTCACCTTTTTTTTTTGGTCAGTCGTGGGGCTTGAATTCTGGGCCTAGGCACCATCCCTGAGTCTTCAGCTCAAGGCAAGTGCTCTACCACTTGAGCCACAGCACCACTTGGGTTTCCTGGTGGTTTATTGGAGATAACAATCTCATAGCTGGGCACCTGTGGCTCACCCCTATAATCCTAACTACTCAGGAGGCTGAGATCTGAGGATCACAGTTCAAAACCAGCCCAGGCAGGAAAGTCCGTAAGACTCCTTATCTCCAATAAACCACTAGAAAACCAGAAGTGGTGCTGTGGCTCAAGCGGTAGAGTGCTGGCCTTGAGCTGAAGAGCACAAAGACAGCGCCCAGGCCCAAGTTCAAGCCCCACGACCGACCCCAAAGAAAAAAAAAAAAGAATCTCACAGACTTTCCTGCCCAGGCTGGCTGTGAAACGCAATCCACAGATGTCAGCCTCCAAAGTAGCTAGGATTATAGGCATGAGCTACCAGCACCTGGCTCTTTTTTAAGGATAGCTATAGAATTTAGATAAATAAAGCACTAACATATGCTGTCTGTCCTTAGCTTCTCTCTTACCCAAAGTCCTATTACATATGCAGCATGGCAGTCCGTAAATCTAGTAAGTCTATTTTCTTTCTCACTTCATCTATCTGTGACAACAGTCCCCTGATTGGTATAACAGAACAAAATGCCTGGTAATCAAAAGACTGTGCATGGACTTTGGTACACCTTAACTAGACATTTTTAAAGTAGAAAGGTAGCATACCTGTAAATTCTGGTCCTCAATGATTATCCCATTATCTGCATTGCAAGAGATGGGGTTCCAGGTCTACCCCTCAGAATTTAAAACAAGATCCAAAGCTCAGAAGAAAGCAAGATGACAAGGCTGGAAGTCTCAATGTGGTCTTATTCCAGGAATAAACCAATAAAAACCTCTCCAGTGAATGGACTGCCAGGTGTAGGTGTTGATAGGTGTAAAACTTGAGTGATCTGAAGGTATACTGAGAACTCATTCCACCCCCCCCCAAATACATTGTCTGTCCTCCCATTCACTAAAGCAGCTTTGCCCAGTTAAAGGACCTTGAAAATCCCAGTCTACAAAAAAGCAAAGTATGAGCGGATCATAGGATTAACACAGCTAGCATAATTTAGACTAAAAAAAGACACTTAAAAACAATCTACAAAGAAAGGAAAAGTGACAAATGATTTATCTCTAGCTTTTTCTAGCCTGGGAGAAGCCTGAGGATTGAGGTAGCAATGCCATCAAGACACAAAGATGATAGTTACTAGTAACCAAATAAGCCAGGGTCACCCTGAAGAGTTAGGGGCTACAATAAAGAACACTTGCTCCAAGAGCTCATTAAGCTGTTTTTAGCATGAACCATGGAACTGGGACAGTGGCAGAATCCTCATGGGAAAGGAAAATGACAGAAAGTCACACTGACAAAGAAATGTTGCAGATAGAGACCATGACCACAGCCCTATAATCAACCCTCAATTTTCTGGGATAATAATCAAAGCTTAGCTTGTTAGCTTAGTCCTCAAATCAATCTACCATCATACAGAAAGTTAACAAGAAACATCACTCTTCTTCCCATTCTTCTCTAGTCCTGCAAAGAAATGAAAAGGAACCGCAAAGCATCTTGAAGGCAAGGCAATGAGCAGAAAAAGCAGAGCAATGGCCCCAGTACTCCCTGAGATTACCCCATTTAGCATCCACAAGTAAGAACTCATGGTTGGAAGGCCATGCTTTTAAATGAGGGGCAGAGGGAGGAGGAAGGGCATCGGGTCAAACTACTCTGTCATGGGTTAAGTTCACAGGACACCAATAAAGACAGACAACCCACCTGGACTCTTGACTGAAATGCCCACACATCCCCTAAGTCACCTTGTCTCAAACCAGTCTCTAAGACACTCTCCCTAAGCAGCATCAATAGATTTTCCTGTTATCACTCTACACAACCAGTCTTTCCCCATCAAGTCCAAACCTTCATGTTATCCTTGGCAGGAACTGCCCTAGTTCTTGCCATATCATCACTCTCCCCAGCTCTAGAATATATATACAGAATTACTTCCTCACCCATTGCCAGAATTTCTACATGATTATGTTTGCACTCCACCCTTTTCCCATAGTCTTTCATGATACCTTTGAATACAAACCCAGCCAAGAAAACATCTGAAAATCATACAGATGGGGATAGGGAAAGGAATCTCAGGTGCTGTATGGCAGAACGCAGGAAGGACGCTCCATGGTGAAGTTCAGAGTAGGCGAAGTACCAGGACTAAGGCCAGAATGCCCCATACCGAATTCAACTTTTCTTTGTCCTTCCCTTCTCCAACCGCAGGGCAGTATCAGTGACATCACCCGTACCCCAATATGGCTCCCTTCAGGGTCCCGGCCCCAGAACTCATTTGAACCCACTTTCTGAAAGACCTACTAGCATACACACAAGTAACAGTCCACTCCCCATTCTTCAGAAAAGTCAAACCCCAGCCAGAACCTCCTTGCTGGAGCACTGGGTTTTTCCTAAACTGGGGAAAAGTGAGGGAAAACAGTCAAACATAAGCAAAAGAAAACAGGTAATATTTACTGCATTTTGGTGTGATCAATTCGAGGCTCAGAAAGTCCAACCATTCATTTGGTCTGGACTCTACAATCCTAAAGATGGCATGCTGACAGCCCACCAATGGAGCTACACCCCACTGGACAGCAAGCAGGGAAATCATTCTAATTCCCACATCCAGACCCCTTTCCACACCGACCCTGGGTTCTCAGGCCCGCTTCCTTTTAAGCTGTCATGTCTTCCTGGATGTCAAACTGGCTCATCTGACACTGAGTGCAATCAAGACAATGACAACCAGGTTTCCAAACTGCAAATCGCCCCAAGTTTTATTTGTAGTCCATACAAAAGAGAAAAAAAAATTAAGGTTTTCTAACACCACCTACTTGGGGAGATGGGGAATTGGGACTGTATCACACACCACAAGCTAGAACATCAGTGGTGAGCAGGAATTTGGACACATGCCAACTGACTGTCCCAATAGAATCTCAGTCTCCAACAGTCTACGGAGGGGCACAGGAGCAGTCAAGGTCCCCAGGACTGCTGGCACAGCTTGGCGCATAGGAAATGGTTGAATTAACCCACTCTTGGCCTCCCTCATATCTGAAAGAAAAAGGCGCCGCCAACCTCAGCTGCAGGTTGCTTCCCCATCCAGACGACCTTAAATACCGCGCATAAAAATAAAAGGGAGCCAGGAAAAAATAAAAACATATGAGACAGACTCCCATTCGGGGGAGATGGGATGCAGGGTAGAGGGGAAACCGCAGGTCTATAGCCACTAGCAAGATGTGCTGCTGAGGCGAAGGAACAAAGTAGATTACTGCCAAATATGTAAAAGGATCATCTCCTGGGGAAGGTCCACGTAATAGAGGGAGGGGATAAAAAATTGCAACCAGGAGAGGTATGGGCCAGAGTGGTTAAAACCTGGGTCTGCACCCTACCTATCTCTCCTCTCCCTCCCTCCCTGTGGTGCCCCATCCCCAGGATGGCCCTACATGCGGCGCTGGTAGCCAGAGTGCATCTGAGCTGCCCGCAGGTAATCATTATAGGAGCCCGAATAGCGTGCGTAATCGGAATGGGCATCGGGCAGGCGACGGTAATCCAGCGAGGACTTTGTCGGCGAGCGGCGGAACGAAAGCTGCGACTCTGATAAACGGCGGTAATCAGAGAGCTCGGCTAAACGCCGGTCGGAACCATACCTAGTCGAGAGAAGAAGACAGTTGGTGAATGAGACAGTCGAGGGGAGGGCTCCAGGCATGGGGGAGATGCCAACCAATGGGGACAGGGAGGGTGTGATCAGATTGGTCTCCAACAGTTTTGTTTCCTTTGGTCAGAAGGCTCATCATCCTACCCAGGCCACAAAAATCAAGCCTGGATTCAAGTCATTGGGAAACCAAGTCCTCCACTGAAGCCCTCCCCTTCCAAACTGGCCATAGTACATTTTTGGCCTCCATTCCCAAACCACAAACTACCCCACCCTTGGGCCCTAACAGAAAGGCCTTGATTGTTTATCAACAGAACGGCGAACAAAAGCAAGGTCTCCAAATTCTCAGAGTGGACGCATCTCATGAACTTGCCTTCAGCCAGTGAGTTCCAAAAGGGACTATTCCTTCACACCCAGCCCACCAATGCCAGGACAACCAGATAAAAGGCTTATGGATCCTTCAGACAGTAGGAAAAGCCACGGGCCACAATCGTGCAAGAGTGACTCCAATGGCACTTGAGCTAGTCTAGACTGGTGATGCCTTTCTTGAAAGGGCTGACTAGCTTAGCTGGTACCACCCCAGGCTGAGCACTATGCTCCAACCTGCACCCTAGTGGCCAGGAAAGTTCACAGACACCAAACCCCTTGGCTTCTGGACATCCCACAGGAGTAAAAACCACCAAGGGAGGGGCCAATGGCGCAGTTTCCCTCCCATGCCAACCTCAGCCCCTTGCCCTATGCCCCAGCTGGGGGCAAAGGCGGGGGGGCATACAGTACCTTTTCGACATGGCGACAGCCTTTTTGTAGGGATCGTCGTAGCTGGCCCGGGGTGGGGAGAGGCGGGTACGCTCATAGGGCGGCGGGGTGCTGTTGGCGTTGGCAACGGCCCCCTGGGACATGGACAGGTAGGCTGCAGACGGCTGACCTGCCCCATCGTAGGCACTGCCAGGCTGGCCACGGTAGGAGGCAGCAGCCTGGGGATGCTGCTGCGCAGCATAGGAAGCAGCCAGTGAGGCTGACGACTGAGTGCGGTAAGGAGCTGCCAAGGTGGCAGAAGGCTGGGCCCCATAGGCAGCTGCGGCGCCATAGGAGCCAGTGGCTGCAGCAGCCGACTGAGCCCCATAGGAGCCTGACAGGCCCATAGATGCTTGAGCCCCGTAACTATTCAGCTGGGTCTGAACCACCGGCTGGGCCCCATATGAGCCAGCCATTGGGGTAGTGGCTTGTGCAGCATAGGCAGCTGGCTGGCTGGCATAGGCTGCAGCTGTGGCTGGCTGTGCCACATAAGCAGCAGGCTGAGAAGAGTAGGAAGCAGCCTGCTGTGCAGCATATGGGGCAGACTGGGCATTGTACGAGGCCGAGGGCTGGGCATTGTAAGAAGCTGCCTGGGCTCCATAAGCTAGTGAGGAGGCTGCAGACTGGGCCCCGTAGGAGGCTGCCTGAGCCCCATAGGAGCCGAGGGAAGAAGCTGCTCCCTGGGTGTTGTAGGAGGAAGCAGCCGCACGAACCCCATAGGAAGAGGCAGCTTGGGCGCCATAAGAGGATGGCTGGTTACCATAGGAGGCAAGGGAGGAGCCCTGAGCCCCGTAGGAGTTGAGTGAAGAAGCTGCAGCCGCCTGCCCCCCATAGGAGGAAAGGGCAGAGGCAGAGGGCTGGGCTCCACCATACGGGCCAAGTGAGGAAGCTGCGGCAGACTGGGAGCTGGGGCTAGCCAGCTGGCCCCTGTATGGGGCCCCAAGGGAGACAGAGGGCTGAGCGCGGTAAGAGGCTGCCTGGGCTGTCATGGGCTGAGTCCGATAACCAACACCCAAAGAGGCAGAAGGCTGGGCCCTATAAGCAGCTCCCAGCGACACTGAGGGTTGGGCCCGGTAGGTGGCTGGCTGGGCGGTCAAAGGAGCCACATAAGAGGCTCGGGGAGGTGAACGGCGCAGGGGGCTGCGGTCGCGACCAAAGAAAGGTGGTGTGGGTTGACGGGCTTGCCCATCAAATCCACCCGTGCTGTTGCCAAAAGCCTGCTGGTAGTCGAAGGTGGCAGAGAAGCCACCAGTTCCAGGGAATGCCGTATCCCCAGCCCCTGGTTTCTTGGTCTTGTCCCCAGTCTGGACAGCCAGGCCAGGCCCTTTCTTCTGACCCTTGGTTGAGAGTTCCACGTTGATGCGCTTGCCCTTCACTTCTTTGCCGTTGAGCTGCGCGATGGCGGCTTTGGCATCTGCTTCCTTCTCCATGTGAACAAACGCGTAGTCTGATAAAGCAGCAGACAGAGGGTTAGCAATTAGGGGGGCAGGGCATGCTACCTGATGGGTCCCAAACTGGACACACAACAGCACCCAGCTGTTGCCAGCTACTTCCAGCCTCCAAACCCTCCTCTCCAGGAGTATGTTATAAAATGTAGCTCCCATAAAACAGAGCTACTGAAAATCCCAAACAGTCACCTTCAACTATGGCCTTTTCCCCATTCTTCCCTTTCCCCTACCACCTCATCCAACATCCTTGTGAGAGAAGAGATGAACTGCAACACAGCATAAAAATCTTCTCAGCTCCTGTAAGCATAAACCAGCAGACCATATGCAGAAGGCATTCCTGAACCACTCAATTATCCAGTGTTCTGAACCCAAGCTCACCAAATAACTACTCACTTTGAGACTTAAAACACTAGAAATGATCACTCACATTCAAACATTGAAAATGACCACTCACTGTGAAATGACCATTCACAATGATCCACCTCTCAGCCTAGGCAAGAGCCAGTCTACAGTGAGCAAATGAGTGGACAGTTCACCAAATTCCTCTTCCCCTTTTTCACATTACTTCCCTTTTTTTTTCTTTTTCCAAAGCACTTCCATGCACAGAACCTCTTTTGGACCTTATAATAAGGTCGCAGGACAAATGATCATCATCCTCACTCTACAGGTTAGCAAACACACTTACGAGGTTTTATGCAGCTTTGCTCCAAAAATCACTACATTAATGTAGGAACCAGAGGGCCTATTCTACATCCCTTTGCTTCACCACTGAAAAGCCCATGTATAAAGCAAGACTGTGTAGTACAACTAAAAACTGTTAAGTTTAGGTGAAATGCTAGATTCTATGTATATGTGGTGTCAATGAGGTACAGGAATGGAAAATAAGCCTTGTGTCTCAGGCCATATTACATCCTTCATCAACTCTTTACTCTTAAGCTTCTGTTCATTAAGCAAACTGTTTACAAACAAGACCTGGTTGTTCAGCTACAATGCAAGAAGCTGGAACTGCAGTTAGCAAGCTAATTCATTCAAGACCTCAATGAGTGTGGGAGACCATCTTTGGGTGTCAAAGCTCTAACTACTACTACATAGGAGAACACTTTATGAACCAAAATGATATAAGCAAAATCTGAAGAACAATGATAGAAAGCTAGTAAGGCTTTGCATATAACCACATTTTGGACCTGTAGCTACTTTTAAGAAGGAATACAGGTGCCAAGATCCAAGCTCTCTGTTGTATAAGTTAAGAAATGAAAAGATGCCAGAAACTGGTGACTCATGTCTGTAATCCACGCTACTTGAAGGCTGAGATCAGAGAATCAGCCTAAAGCCAACCATGACAAACAAATCTAAGAGATTCTCATCTCCAATAAATCAGAAGCAGAGGCATGGCTCAAATGGCAGACCATCAGTAGCCTCAGGGGGGAAAACAGCTAAACAAGTGCATAAGGCCTTTTATTCAGGCCCCAGTACGTGTGTGTGTTCCTATGCGTGCGTGCGTGCGCGCGCGCACACACACACAAAAAAAATGAGGGTGGGGAGAGCAGAGAAGAAAAGCTACCTGAACAAAATCACTGAAGCCCCATTCCCCCAAAATAAGAAAGTCTTTTAATGATCTCCAAACAAGTGTCCCATTTTTGGAATTTTTGCCCTTTGGCGGTTCCTATATAACAGCTCTGAACTTAAGAACAATACCACCAACCTCATAGTAATAAACAAGCAGCAAAAATCAAGAGTAGTATGGCATAAAGGATCCTGGGCTACAAATTTTAAAAATCTAGATATAACTGATTTAAGAATCTAGATATAACTGATACAAGATCTTAAACTTACCATTTATTTCCCTATCTGACAAGTCTATTCTGCCACTCTCAAAGTTAGAATGTTCAAGTGAGAAGACGAAGTCCTTTGAGAAGCATACATAGCAATAGAATAAGGAAATGTGATGATTCTTCAGCCATACAAAATAACGTTGAAGAATATTTTTATCTTTAATAAAACAGAATGCCATCTGTGTGCATAAACTTCAAAGCTGCAAGATGATACAAGAACAATGTAACTATCACAACTGCCAGTCTTCCAAACACGCCATTGTCAGAGCCTGAGTATTTGCCAACTGTGAAAGCTAAGTGTTCCTTTCCACCTGACCATACATAGGCACTAGAATTATTATATGATCTCCCATCTCCACTTTGGGTAGTTACCTAAAATAGTATCTCGTGGTCTAAGATATCTTTAAAAGCAGAAGCTGAACGGACCCTTAGGAATGACAAAACTATCTGAAGTACGCAAAGGCACTTGCCCACTCAAATAAGAAGAATGGAGAGAGATTTGCTGAGCTTGTCGGGCTCTCCAGACACTATGCTACATTCTTGATCATTCTGTCTACAACGTTCTAAGACCAGAATGAGCTTATAAAAACACCAAAGAAAAATTTTAACAGATTTATTAAAACAACTGGATAGCCAAATGGTGGTGGCTCACGCCTGTAATCCTAGCTACTCAGGAGACTGAGATCTGAGGACTGTGTATCAAAGCCAGCCAGGATAGGACAGTCTGTGAGTCTTATCTCAAATAAACATCCAGAAAAATGGAAGTGGTACTGTGGCACTGTGGCAGAGCACTCACCTTGAGCTGAAGAGCTAAGGGACAGTGTCCAAGCCCAAAGCCCAGAGTTCAAGCTCCATGACCAACCCAAAAGAAAAAAAAATTTTTTTTGGATAGCCCATTATCTACTCCCTACTTAGATTTTTTTTTTTTTTTTTTTGGGGGAGGGTCCAGTCGTGGGGCCTGAACTCTGGGCCTGGGCACTATCCCTCAGCTCTTCAGCTCAAGGCTAGTGCTCTACACTTGAGCCACAGTGCCACTTCTGGCTTTTTTCTTTTTGCTTATGTGGTGCTGAGGAACTGAACCCAGGGCCTCATGCATGCAAGGCAAGCACTCTACCACTGAGCCACCTTCCCAGCCCCAGACTTTTTTTTTTTTTAAAGTCAAGAGATGAAGTGGTGCTAGGCTTGATGATATACAGGCAGCCTGCTTAATACCTGGGAGTCTGAAGCAGGAGGATGGAAGTTTGAGGCAAGCCTGGGTACACATCAAGACTATCTCCAAAAGGGAAAAAAAAGTGATAAAATTTAAAAACTGACATTTCAGGATGAGGATGAGCATACACAAAGCCCTTGGCTCAACTCCAGCACTACTGGGGGGGAAAAAAATCAAGATTATAGATATAGGATTCAACTAACTGCCCAGATAAGCTATAAAAGTTCATAGGGAGCCAGGCACCAGTGGCTCACGCCTGTAATCCTAATTACTCAGAAGACTGAGATCTGGGCTGGGAAGGTGGCTCAGTGGTAGAGTGCTTGCCTTGCCTGCATGAGGCCCTGGGTTCAATTCCTCAGCACCACATAAGCAGAAAAAGCTGGAAGTGGCACTGTAACTCAAGTGGTAGAGGGCTATTCTTGAGCTGAAGAGGTGAGGGACAGCACCCAGACCCAGAGTTCAGGCCCACGACTGACAAAAAAAAAACAAAACAAAAAAAAAACAGAAAAACCCTCTGTATGGTATTTCCACAATAGTAAAAAACAAAAACAAAAACAAAAAAAAACTGAGATCTGAGGATCACGGTTCAAAGCCAGCCTGAACAGGAAAGTCCATATCCAATTAACCACCAGAAAACCGGAAGAGGTGCTGTGACTCAAACGTTAGAGTGCACACCTTGAGCTGAAGGGCTGAGGGAAGAGTTCAAGCCCCACAACAGACCAAAAAAAAAAAAAAAAACTTGATGGGGAAAGCCATTGATATGCTCATAGTCATATTACATTTGGAAGTTTCTAACCTGACATTGGAAGTATGACAAAGATGTCCAGCTAATAATTCAATTTCATCACGTCTTAACTCAGCCTCATTACAGTGAGGCACCGAGCCCAAACTTATACTTATCAAAGATGCCCAGAAAACCAATTAGTTCTAAAACAATGAAGACTAGAGATCTGCAGAAGTGTGCAGGGACCCACTGGACCACAATGCTAATTCAAGGAAACTTCTACAGGGATTCACTGCATTAAGATTAGCAAGTAATGCTTTGCAGAGACCTCCTAATGATCCATGGAACTCTAGAAAACAAGTTTTCCTACCCCAAGGCTAAAAATCTTTCATTTGAAACTATAGAGCTCTAAAAAATGGCTACCCACAAAGAAAGACAGTATTTTCTTCTGGCTTTCAGACCTCCCTTGAAGTATGGAAGTGGTTCCTGAAGCATGTCTTTGAACACCCAATAGGATGTAGTTACAGAGTGGCTATGGGGCTGGGAATGTGGCTTAGTGGTAGAGTGCTTGACTAGCATGCATGAAGCCCTGTGTTCAATTCCTTAACACCACATACACAGAAAAACCTGACAGTGGTATTGTGCCTCAAATAAAGAGTGCTAGCTCGAGCAAAAGAAACTCAAGAGACAGTACCCAAATCCTAAATTCAAGCCCCAGGACTGGCCAAAAAAAAAAAAAGAGTGGTTATGACCATTGCTATGGAGAATCTTACTCTACAAATCATACCTAAGCTCCTGGAATATCCAAGCAACTATGTTCTTTTACCCCTGTGAAATAAGAGAGCTAACTGTCTTGTGCTATACAAAGCTTCTCAAAGACCTGATGGCCAAAATTAGGAGACTCAAAAAAAGTATAAATACAAACTATCTATAGAACCAGAGTAAGTGTTTTTCACTTTGAGACCTCATTTTCTTTCAGCTCAAAGAGAAAGGCATCAGTGAAAGATGATGCTCAGCAGATACGATGATCAAAAGCCTTCCTTCCCCAGTCTCTTAAAATACATCAGGAAGTCTGTTACACATCAGCCTAAAATAACAGGTTAGGATCCTCCCTTGAGTTAGTCAACATATTTCTACTAATAAATATTTGTTTACAAAAGGACAAAATACAAAAAAAACTTTCCCTCTCAGTCACAGCCAGTTGTTCTAAAAATCATGTTCAATTATCACGTACTTCGCCCCCCCCCCCCCCAACTTCTATTTGGTGTCAATCTCAAGCAAATTTAGGCAAATTTTTTGCTTTCTCTATCACCTGAGAGCAAACTTCTTAACCATTTGAGTTCCATGGAGACTGTCCCAAGATACTAGATTGTAGCTCCCAATCTAAAAGCCACACTGCGTAAGACCCATAAAAGAAACTCAACACAAAATTCACATAGAGATTCATCCACCCCATCCATTGCTTCCCAAGTATCCAATCTGAAACCCTTCTAATTCTTTTGCTCTAAAAGCAAAAATCCATACAGCCTGCCTCAGAGCACCCAGCAGGAAAGCCTGATTCCGGATAGCCGTGGACTTGCATAACCTGAGTTGAGGAAAATAGAATGCAATATTAATGCAGAACAAACACTTGTTTCTAATAATGGACACTACAACCCTTTACACATAAAGAACAAGGAATGGCCCAAAAGATGTGCCTCTCTAGAACTATATGAACAAGCACCTCTGCACCCACATTTGTATCCTATCTTCAAATCTTCCCAGAGTATGAGCAAGAATGATGCCCTACACCAGGGGTATAGCACCACATAGATTGCTCTCCACTTGCATTTGTTTTGAAAACATGGGATATAGCAAAGTTTACTCTGATCTGGTTCCAGGAGGAAGAGTGTCTAGGATATGCCATCAAAGATCTGAGTATGAGCTTAGGTTTAAGAACCCAGACCAGGGGTTGGGAAGGTGGCTCAGTGGTAGAGTGCTTGCCTTGCATGCATGAGAGGTCCTGGGCTCGATTCTTCAGCACCACATAAGCAAAAAAAGCTGCAAGTGGTGCTGTGGCTCAAGTGGTAGATGCTACCCTTGACAGCTGAGGGACAGTGTCCAGGCGGAGTTCAGGCCCATGACGACCCCCCCCCAAAAAAAGAACCCAGACCATGGGGGGCGGGGGGAAACAGACACATCAACTGGGTCCCAAAATTCAAGCCTAAATTATGGTGACACATTTTCTCAAAGATAAGGCGATCTGCCTTGAGAATTTGACTAATGATGAGTCCTGAGCAAATGGTGTTTAGACTCCTAATCTAGAAGCCCCCAAAGTTTAAAAGAAAAAAAAAACAAAACAACAACAACAAAAAATAAACCCACAAAGTTTAAAGAAAACCTCTCTTAGATTTCTTCCAAGGTCCCCCTAAGCCCAGAATCGTGCTCTGCAAAGTCACCAAGCTTAGAAAAGACTGACACTGCCCTGGGACACCAGCTTGGCAAATAAATACTACCCACAGCGGGGCCTTCATAAAACAAGCCTCCAACAATACACACACACACACACACACACACACACACACACACACAAAGACTCAGGTTTCCAATTGATGGAGGGAAAAAAAAAATCAAGCCCAAAGGGGGAAAAAAAATCCCAGACTTAAGAGGGTTGGAAAACACAGAGCTGCCACGTCTAAACCCATCAAATATTAAATACCAAAGGAGTTTGGAAGGGGCCCCTCCTGCGCCCGTGAGCAAACCTAAGCCAGACAGTAGTAAAAGATCCCAGCCCAAGAAACGTCCAAGGGCCCCGTTACCTTCCGCTTGGGAGTATTCATCGGGAGGGAACGCGAGGGAGGCTTTGGGGCGTCTGCCCACACCTTTTCCCTCTTCCCTTGCTCTGACCGACGTCTGGAGAGGAAGTGGGGAAGTGGCGAAATCTTCCCCGCTCCATGATCCGGCTCGTGCCCGTCACTTCCCAATTTCCGTTCGGTGCCAGGCCCAGGAAATCAGAAGAAGGCACGCCCCCGGTACACTCAAGTCTCTGGCGCGTCCCCGGCCCCGTGGCTCAGCTCTCAAGTGGCCGCCGCACCCACCCAGATCCGCCTTCTCCCATTTGAATGGTGCCTGGACCGCAGGGGAAGAGGGTGGCTCTCCCCAACGCGCCCCCCAGCACCTCTGGCACCGCTCCCGCGCACTTCCCCACCCTTCCCAACCGCGCAGTGACCGACCCCGGTTAAGGGGCGTGGCTAGCAGGCTGAGTGCCCCTCCCCAAGCGCGCCCCCGCCCCAGAGCGCGCCTCCGCGTTACCTTTCACCACGTCACACTCGATGACGCGTCCACGGCGCTCGAAAAGACTGCGCAATTCTTGGCTCGTACATGCAGCCGACACATTGCCCACGAAAATCTTCCAAGTGTTCAAGGGCCTTGGGCGCGACATCTCCACCACGAGTGCGCGCCCCGGCCGCAGCTCGTGGCCGTGCAAGGCCTCGATGGCGCGCAGCGCGCCTGCGTTCTCGCGCATGTGCACGAAGGCGAACTGTTTCATGACGGCGCAGCTCATAACCGTGCCGTAGGGCGCGAAGAGGGCAGCCAGCTCCTCGGGCGTTGTATCCGCTCCATCTACGTTACCTACGAATATCTTCATTTTGCCGCCGCAGCCGCCTTCCCGGAGGGCCGGGACCTCTCCTCCAGCGACAAACGAAACGACCTACCGACCGGCAGTCCTCCCCAGGAATGGCTGGCGACCGAGAACCCCGCCGCGCAGGCGCTCTGATATAGCCAATCAGAGCTTGGCTCCCGCGCGCGCAAGCAAACCAATCAGAGATGCTTAGAGAAGACACACTCAGGAACAGCCAATCCCAGAGGACCTAGAGCCCGCTCGTTAGCGGAGAGGGTGGGAGAGAGACGAGCGCGCGCGACCAACCGCCGCTACCGGGGGAGGGGGGTGGTTGGCGTGGAGGAGCGCGCGCGGGCGGCGCCGGCGACCGAGGCCTAGTCTGCGGAGCGGCCTCTGGCCGGGGTGGGGCGGAGAATAGCCGGCCCGCAAGGAAAACTTTGTTCACCCGGAAGTCGGGACTCCTCCCCTCCTGGCAACCTGGGTTAAACCAGCCTGGTTTGGCAGCGCGAATGTCAGCCAAGTCCGGCCTCGCTGGAGAAACCTGCACAAACGCTCTCAGTCTGCAATTGGGAAACATTTCCCTTGCTACGAATTTATTCCCTGGGATCACTGAGGCCCTGGCAGACCCTGCAAACGAGTGAAAAACGGGAGAGCATTTCTGCCTGATGGAATTTCCAGTCAAGAAATAAGGAGATGACTCTACCGTCTCAAGTTTCCACAAGAGAAAGTTGGTAACAAAAAAACCACAACGATGATCCGTGAGGCCGAAAGTTGAGGCTTTAAAAAAGAACAAAAATATGGAGCTGGGAAGGTGGCTCAGTGGTAGAGCACTTGCCTTGCATGCATGAGGCCCTGGGTTCGATTCAAGTGGTAGAGCGCTAGCCTTGAGCTGAAGAGCTGACGGACAGCGCCCAGGCCCAGAGTTCAGGCTCCACGACCAACACACACACACATCCCTACTCATAGAGCCTGGTGTGGGTGGCTCACGCCTGTAATCTTAGCCACTCAAGAAGCTGATAACTGAAGATCCACATTTAGCCAAGGAAGGAAGGTCCATGTGACTCTTACTTCCTGTTAACCACCAAAAAGCCGGAAATGTAGCTATGGCCCAAGGGCTAGAATCCTAGCCTTGAAAAGAAAAGGCTCAGGGACAACACCCAGGTCCTGAGTTCAAGCCCTACAATTTACAAAAATAAAACAAAAAACAAAAAAAACTGGCCATCAGCAGACAACAAATATGCCAGTACTGGGAATTCCAGCCTCCATGATTGTGGGAAATTGTGTTCTTCATAAATTATGTCTGTGATATGTTGTTATACATCTGAAGACACTATAAATTTGAAATACCTCTAAGTCATCTGAGTGGAGATTATCAGTGAGGAATTGGATATGTGTCTGATTTAGGGGAGAGGTCTGAGTTAATCATATAATTTTGTTTGTTTTTGGTCAGCCATGGGGCTTGAACTCTGGGCCTGGGCGCTGTCCCTGTGCTCTTCTGCTCAAGGCGGGCGCTCTACCGCTTGAGCCACAGGGCCACTTCCGGTTTTCTAGTGGTTTATTGGAGATAAGAGTCTCACAAACTTTCCTGCCCGGGCTGGCTTTGAACTGCGATCCTCAGATCTCAGCCTCCTGAATAGCTAGGATTATAGGCTTGAGCCACCAACACCCGGCTAATCATATAATTTTTTGTGGTTGTTCTGGAGTTTAAACTGAGGGCTTGAGCACTGTCCTTAAGCAAAAAAGTTCAGGGTAGCTTTTTGGGGGGGTTATGTTGCTGTTGTTTGGGAGGTAGCTAATTGAGGCTAAGAGTCTCACAGACTTAGGCTAAAGAATTAAAACTATGCTGTTTGTCTCTCTGAAAACCCTATTTGGTACTTTTGCATAAAGATTCAAGGTACACTTACTTATACTGTACCACTTTCCCAAAAGGAATCAAAGCAACTTCTTCAGGAATAGTTAAAAAATCATTAATATATAACTTACACATTGAAGTCATGAAAAAAGTATGCTCACCAGCACACAATATAGTTGTTGAAAGTTCTCAACCCTTTTTTCCTCACTGCTTCCCTAGAAGAAATGTATTTGTTTTCTAATCACCTCCATACCCATTACAGTGTGTATGTGTGTATGTATGCGTGCACACATGCACACACATGCACAGGCACATGCACAAGCTAGTTCTGGGACTTTGAAATCAGGACTTCACACTCTTCAATTCCCTTTTCCCGCTCCAGGCTGGCTATCACTTGAGTCACAGCTGTACTTCCAGCTTTTCACTGGAAGGCTTCACCATTGTGCTGAACATAACCCTAGCTACTCAGGAGGCTGAGATCTGAGGTCCACAGTTCAAAGCCAGGCAGGAAAGTCCATGGACTCTTATCTTCAATTAACCAAAAGCCATAAGTGGAACTGTGTCTCAAGTGGTAGAGTGCTAACCTTGAACACAAAAGCTGAGGGATCAAACCCAGGACTTCATGCAAGCACTCTACCACTAAGCCACATTCCTAGCCCAGCATGAATGATTTTTTCTTAATAGATATATAGATTCTTTTTCTTACAAAGTATGGATGACAAAAATATTTACTTTCAACACTTTAAAGTAAGAACCAATATAAATGATTAGAAACATAGACTTAGGACCATACTTCCTGGGCCTGAATCTAGACTCTGTCACATTCTTTACTGTATAGCCTTGAGCAAGTTACATAACCACTCTGTGCTTCTGTTTCCCTCATCTGTAACATGGAAATATGATAAGCATATGAATTTGAAGTGTTTAGAATACAATCTAGAACATAATTAGTAGTATTAGCTAATACTAAACTTTCCACTTTAAATGAGTTTAAAAGTGCATCAACTTAAAGAAAACTATTCATGGGCTGAGAGTGTGGCTTAGTGGTAGAATGCTTGCCTCACATGCATGAAACCCTGGGTTCAATTCCTCAGTACCACATACACAGAAAAAGCCCAAAGTGGCGCGGTGGCTCAAGTAGTAGAGTGCTAGCCTTGAACAAAAAGCTAGGTGAGGCCCAGAGTTCAAGCCCCAGTATGAAATAATATGGTGGCTAAGCCTGTAATCCTAGCTACTTGGAACATAAAGATCTGAGGGTTGCAGTTTTGAGTCTAGGGGCTGGGGGAGTTGGGATGTTTGTTATCTCAGGCTACAGGGCAATTGCCTGGGTGCCATGGGTGCACTTGTCACCCAGCAACAAAAGGAAGCACAAATAAAGAGTTTCAAAGTCTAGTTGCATACCTACAGCACAGAAAGAGGCTGGAAACATATAGCTCAAATGGTAGAGTGCCTGCCTAGTAAGTGTGAGGCCCTGAATTCAAACTCTAGTACTGCCTCCTGTCCGCCCCCCTGCCCCCCAAAAAAGGTATTTGAATAATGTTTGATGGCTAGAAAAAAAGGAAAATACACAGCTAGAACTGGGAATGCTGATGTCTTACTAGAGTGGTAAGAATGGTGACCAACTTGGCCCTAGAGGGTTAAACCAACTTATAGCTCCAGAACAGAGGAAGAGGGAAAGCAGGAATTGGCTATGGACAGAATCCAGCAGTTTCTGCAATACCTAAAACTGGAGAAAGGTATCCTGGGTTTAAAACCATTGGTTCCCAGAGACTATGGGGAGCTGGGGAATCAACCAGCAGAACAGGGTCCAAGGACAGGCACTGGAGGCAGCGCCAGCAAGATTAGAGTGCCAGCAGGGCTTGGGTAATGGGAACAGAGTCAGGGGCCTTAGAGCCAGGGCCAAACGAAAACCCACTGCCTGGTTCAATTTGAAGCAGCTGGCACAGAGGTCATTTGTAGTCTAACAGTTTACTTTGTCCTAAAAGTAGTTTTGTTAAGAATAATAAGCCTCATGTGGCCCAGTGCAGAGTTCAGAAAACCGGAGTAAGGTGCCAAGAATACAAAGCTCACTAGCCAGGGCTAGCAGTCATAGGTATGAGGATCTTTTTCAGGCTTGCTTCTAGGGTCCATATGGCCTTAGAATCACTGCCACTGCTACCTTAATGTAGGTGTGTCAGGCTCTGTGCCAAATACTTATGAAGAGCTACTTAGGTTAATTAAAAGCTTTTCACTTGTGAGTAAAAGAAATCAACTCAAGCCAGGCACTGGTGGCTCATTCCTATAATCACATCTACTAGGGAGGCTGAGATATGAGGATCATGGTTCAAAGCCAGGCCAGGCAGGTTAAGTCTTTGAGACTCAACTTCAAATAACTACTCAGATGGGCTGGAAAAGTGGCTCAGTGGTAGAGTGCTTGCCTTGCATGCATGAGGCACTGGGTTTGATTCCTCAGCACCACATTAGCAGAAAAAGGCAGAAGTGGTGCTATCCTTGAGCTGAAGAGCTGAGGTACAGTGCCCAGGCCCAGAGTTCAGGCCCCACTACCGACCAAAAACAAACAAAAAAAACTACTCGGAAAAAATTGGAAGTGGTTCTGTGGCTCAAGTGGTAGAGCCCTAGCCTTGCACACAAAGAAGCTCAGGGGCAGAGCTCAGGCTCCAAGTTCAAGCCCCAGTACTGACACATGAACATTAAAAAAAAAAATTTACTCAAGTCAGATTAACTGTTGAGATAAGATTTCACTATGTAGCCTACACTGTCCTCAAACTCACCATCCTCCTAAGTCTCTCAAACACTGAATTGCACACACACACAAGGATACCTAGAATTTCCTTCCTTTCCTCCTCCTTCCTTTTTTCTTGGAAGGATGGAACTCAGGGCCTTTTGCATAGTAGGCAAGTGTTTTTACCTCTTACAAAATTCTGCACCCAGCCAGACATGGTGGCTCATACCTGTAATCCCAGCTTAGCTACTCAGGAGGCTGAGAGCCGAGGATGTGGTTCAACGCCAGCCCAGGGAGGAAAGTCCGTGAGACTCTTATCTCCAGTAAACCACTCAGAAAACCGGAAGTGGTGCTGCTCAAGTGGTAGAGCACTAGCCTTGAGCTGTAGAGCTGAGGAAGAGCCCCCAGGCCCAGAGTTCAAGCCCTACGGGGGAGAGGGGGGTGCGGGAATCATGCTGGGGCTGTCTTGAAACGGTGATCCTTGTATCTCAGCTTCCTGAGTAGCTAGGATTACAGGCATGAGCCATCAGCATTTTTGTTTTTTTTTGTCGGTTGTGGGGCTTGCACCCTGGGCCTGGGCCCTGTCCCTGAGCTCCTCGGCTCAAGGCAAATGCTCTACCTTGAGCCTCAGCGCCACGTCAGGTTTTCTGGTGGTTAATTGGAGATAAGAGTCTTATAGTCTTGGGGCTGGGAAGGTGGCTCAGTGGTAGAGTGTTTGCCTTGCATGCATGAGGACCTGGGTTCGATTCCTCAGCACCACATAAGCAAAAAGAAAAAAGCCGGAAGTGGCGCTGTGGCTCAAGTGGTAGAGCGCTAGCCTTGAGCTGAAGAGCTGAGGGACAGCGCCCAGGCCCAGAGTTCAGGCCCCATGACCGGACCCAAAAAAAAAAAAAAAAGAGTCTTATAGTCTTTCCTGGCAGGGCTGGCTTTGAACCAGGATCCTCAGATCTCAGCCTCCTGAGTAGCTAGGATTACAGGGGTGAGCTACTTGGCACCTGGCTCCATCAGCATTTCTTTCTTTTTTGTTGTTGTTGGTCATGGGCCTTGAACTCTGGGCCCGAGTGCTGTCCCTCAGCTCTTCAGCTCAAGGCTAGCGCTCTACCACTTGAGCTACAGCGCCACTTCTGGTTTTCTGGTGGTTTATTGGAGAAAAGAGTTTCCCGGACTTTCCTGCCTGGGCTGGCTTTGAACCATGATCCTCAGAACTCAGCCTTCTGAATAGCTAGGATTACAGGCATGAGCCACTGGTGCCCGGCTTCTATCAGCATTTCTTAAGGTAACTGTCCAGCATGGGTCAAGTGTCTATTTGGCTACGATTAGCCATCTTTAGGGAAGAGGGGAGCCACACAAAAAAGATGACGAATCCTCAGGACATGTGGACTTGAATCTCAGTGAAGGAAGGGGTGGCCATGGATATGGAAGACAGATGCATAGAGGCTACATTCACTGATCCCATCGAAGAACAGAGACAGGCAAAACAAAGTTCCATGTGAAAATAAAAGTTTAATTTGCTAAAGATGCATCCAAGTAACCCCTACATACCCAGTAACTATTGCTCCTAGGCCTGCACTAGAATGGCCCCTTTGCTACCTCTGCAGGTGGAAGATGCTTGGTAGGGAGGACACAATAGAACCCCAAGCCCTACTCAGAGGTGGGCAGCAGGCTGGGCTGAGTCCTTCCGGCCCTCGCCAGCAATGGGCCGGCCTCGCTCCTCCCAGATAGTGAGGCCATCACAGGAGCAGATTTGCTTGGGGTTCTGGAACAGGCCAGCAGAGCGTGCGATGATGCCACAAGCCAACCTGCAGAAGGAGGTATAGGAAGCAGGAACATGTTTGGCTCTATGGGCACACTGGCAGACCTCTGCCTCCTCGTGGATATGGCACTACTCACCTCTCCCCAGAGTTCCCCGTGACCTTAGATAAGGGATGGCCACCTCGGCCCAGGTCATCTTCTCCCTCATCGATAACGAGGCTACGGCCAATCACATCCCACACCTTTGAAGGAGGACAACACCTCAGCCTCCCTGTCCTGTTAGGAAGGGTTCCCCACCATCTTTCCACCTCACCTTTAGCTGCTCATCCTCTAGCCGGAAGATGGCTCGGCCACCAGCATCAGCGTGGACATTGCCCAGGTCCCCACGGTGCTAGAATGAGATCCCATGGGGAAGAAGGCTCACGTGGGGATCTAGCTGCTATCTGATTCCTCTTTCCATTTCTCTTAAAAACATAAAAAAAACTACCCATTTCCTCCCATGGGAACAGTCAAGTAGGATCATGGACAGCGCAGGACTCAAGAAAGAAAACTAGACATTAATCCCAGCCCTCAAATCTCAGCCTTCTGAGTAGCTAGGATTATAGGCATGAGTTACCAGTACTTGGTCAGGTATAGGGTTTTGTGGCTCACCAGTCCTCTCATCAGAAAACTCACCAGTTCAAAGGGTGGCTGGTCACATTTGTTCCATATCTGATGCCCTTGAAGGTGGGACTATATGTACTCCCACAATGCCTGGCAGAGTATCTGGCAGGAGGTGCTCAGTAGATATGTTGTGACTTTTGCCTCCAAGGGAGAAGGCCGGCAAGGTGGGCCTTTGCCCCTTGGGGTCTTCCCTGTGTTTCTTAGGGCTGGGTGTCAGGAACCGTGCTGGCTCAGAGTAGCCCAATGTGGCCAACTTACACCTAGTGGGGATTGGATGACTTCCAAGGGCTTCCAGACCCAACAGAAGGCTGGAAAGCCAGGCATGGAAAAGAAGCAGGAACTTGCTAACTGGAGTCAGAAGTGGGACCGGGCAGGTGACTCAGTGGTAGAGCTCCTGCCTTGCATGCCTGAGGCCCTGGGTTCGATTCCTCAGCACCACATAAGCAAAAAGACAAAGGCCAGAAGTGGCGCTGTGGCTCAAGTGGCAGAGCGCTAGCCTTGAGCTGAAGAGCTGAGGGACAGTGCCCAGGCCCAAACTTCAGGCCCCACAACCAGACCCCCCCCCCCAAAAAAAAAGAAGGCTGAGATTTGAGGATTAGTTTAATATCAGCCTGGAAAAAAAAATGTATGAGACTCTTATGTCCAATGAACCACCTGCAACAAGCCAGAAGTGGAGGCATAGCTCAAGTAGTAGAACACCAACCTTGAGCAAAAAAGCCAAGCAAACGTACCAAGTCCCTGAGTTCAAGCCCCAGCACCAAAACACACACACACACACACACACACACACACACACACACACACACACCCCTCTACCTGTGTAAATAAATTGTTCCAATCTGACACATGGGCCAGCAGCAGGTGCCTGAACTTGTGTGAGCTGGTTCACATGGCCTTGCTTGCTCAACAACAAAGCTTACAGTGTGTGGTGAGGCTGAGAGTGACGAGAGTTTTACCCTGTTGCCCAGATAAAGATCTGCCACTGGCACCTGGCACATTTAATTATTTTTCTGGTATTAACTGAAGTTTGAACTTAGAGCCTCATGCTTGCTTATAAGGTGCTCTGCCACTTGAGCCATGTCTCCAGCCACCTGGCACTTTTTGTTATTTTTGTCAGGTGTTAGAGACTATAATGAGATCAAAGCCAGGGAGGTGACAGCCCTGAGGAGTGGTTCTGGGGCTCGGCAGCATTGACTACTCCATTCTTGTTTATTTCTTCCTCCTATATGAAAGGCTTGGATGCAATACAGCTGTCACTCTGGGCCATTTTATTTCCTTTGCCACTCAAGGTTGAACCTGACAGCTTCATGCATGCTAACTGTGTGCTCTGTTGCTGACTCTGTTTCACTTGCTTTTCTGTTATTTTGTGCCAGTACTGGGTACTGGGGCCTGAACTCAGGATCTGGACACTCTCCCTTAGCTTTTTCACTGAAGACTAGTATCCTACCACTTGCACCACAGCTCTACTTCTGGCTTTTTGGTGACTGATTGGAAATAAAAATCTCATGGAAGCTGGGAGGATGGCTTAGTGGTAGAGCGCTTGCCTAGCAGACATAAAGCCCTGGGTTCGATTCCTCAGTACCACATACACAGAAAAAGCTGAAAGTGGTGCTGTGGGTCAAGTGGTAGAGTGCTAGTCTTGAGCAAAAGAAGCTCAAAAGCTCAGAGACAGGGCCCAGGCCCTGAGTTCAAGACCCAGAAATCACACACACACACACACACACACACACACACACACACACACACACACACACTCTCTCTCTCTCTCTCTCTCTCTCTCTCTCTCTTTCTCTCTCTCTCTCTCTCTCTCTCTCTCTCTCTCTCCCCCCCTCCCTCTCCCTCTCCCCTCCCCCTATCTCTCTCTCGGATTGGATTTTCCTGCCCAGGCTGGCTTCCAATTACAATCCTGAGATCTCCACCTCCTGAGTAACTAGGATTATAGGTACAACCCACCAGTGCCCTGGCTCTTGTTTGTCTTTTCTAACTTCCTGCCTCAAGTAGGCCTCAGGGCAAAAATACAGGTGACCCAAGACACCCAGTACCCTCACCCTCTCCACCTGCCCAGCTCCTCCCCCTCATCTGTTAGGGCTAAAGCAAAGAACCTGTGAATGGCTCTTCTTGTGATTTACCCTCTTGGGGGTAGGCTGGACTGTTATCTCCTAGATCAGGGTGCAGCAAAAGTATGCTTCAGTCTTAGACACCGTGTCCTATTGCTCTCTCACTCACGCGCTCTTGAAAGCCAGTTGCCTTGATAGGAGCTGAACACGTGACAAAACTGTCAATTTCTGGCCAAAAGCCAGGGAGGACCTGAGGCCTGCCAAGAGCAACATGAGCGAGCAGATCCTCTCTGTGTGCAGCCCTAAAATGACGGCAACTCTTGAGACACTGAGCCAGAGGCACCCAGGGCCCTACCTATGAGACAATACATGTTTCTTGTTTTACACCGGTAACATTTGATCAATAATGCACTGAACATAGCATGGCTTTATGCAATAGATCAGACAGAAACTTCTTTCCAACTTCCAAGGGTAGGGAGAAAGAACTTTTCTGTTTGTTTTGTTCTGTTTTGTGACAAAGTCACGGCCCAGACTTGCCTCAAAAATAACCAGCCTTATCTGGGTGCCAGTGGCTCACCCCTAGAATCCTAGCTACTCAGGAGGCTGAGATCTGAGGATCGAGGTTCAAAGTCAGCCTGGGCACAAAAGTCCATGAGAATCTTATCTCAAATAAACCAGCAAAAAATCAGAAGTGGCGCTATGGCTCAAGTGGTAGAGCACTCACCTTGAGCTGAAGAGCTCAAGGACAGTGCCCAGGCCCAGAGTTCCAGCCCCACCACCTACCCCCCCCCAAAAAAAATATCACCATCCTCCTGCCTCAGTCTCCCAAGTGCTAAGATTACAGGCATGCACACCCACCCCTGGCTAGGAAAAAGAAGTCTTAGCTAATAGACATGAAACAGAACTGTCAAAAAATCCAAAAAGAAAACAGGTGCTGGTGGCTCACGCCTGTAATACTAGCTACTTAGGAGGTTATCTGAGGATGATGGTTCAAAGCCAGCCCGGGCAGAAAAGTCGCTGTGAAACTCTTATCTCCAATTAACCACTCCAAAACCGGAAATGGCAGTGTGGCTCAAGTGGGAGAACACTAGCCTTGAGCTCAGAGGCTCAGGGACAGCACCAAGGCCCTGAGTTCAATCCCCACACCAATCCCCCCACAAAAGAAAAAATTCCAAAAAGTCCATTCCATGAATCAAGACACACATTCAGGTAGAATAACCTTTATGTGAAATACACAGTGCTGGATATCAGCAGGGGTGAGAGGGTGGGGTAGGAGGGGGATTATGTGAATATTTGCAAAACCTTACCAAATAATCTCCTGAATTTGAAAATACAAACTCTTAAATAAACTTAAATTTCAGACTCTGGAATATTTGGTTTGGGGCTGAAACTGGGGCTTGAACTCAGGGTCTAGGTGTCACTCCTTAGCTTTTCTGCTCAAGGGTGGCATTCAACACCTTGAGCCATAGCTCCACTTTTGGCTTTTTTTTTTTGGTCGGTCATAGGGCTTGAATTCTGGGCCTGAGTGCTGTCCCTCAGCTCTTCGGCTCAAGGGCGAGAACTCTACCACTTGAGCTACAATGCCACTGCTGGTTTTCTAGTGGTTTATTGAAGATAAGAGTTTTATGAGGGGCTGGGAAGGTGGCTCAATGGTAGAGCGCTTGCCTTGCATGCCTGAGGCCCTGGGTTCAATTCCTCAGAGCTACATAAGCAAAAAGAAAAAAAAGCTGAGGTGGTGCTGTGGCTCAAGTGGTAGAGCGCTAGCCTTGAGCTGAAGAGCTGAGGGACAGCGCCCAGGCCCAGAGTTCAGGCCCATGACCGGACCCCCCCCCAAAAAAAAAAAAAAAAAAAAAAGTTTCATGAACTTTCCTGCCCAGACTGGCTTTGAACCGTGATCTTCAGATCTCAGCCTCCTGAGTAGCTAGGATTACAAGCATGACCCACTAGCACCTAGGTTTTTTTTTGTTTTGTTTTTTAACCAGCCCAGGCTGGCTTTGAACTGAAATTTTCAGATCTTAGCCACTTGAGTACCTAGAATTATAGCCCTGAGCCTTCAATACCCATAGAGCTTTTGGAATATTTAGATTTTGGATTTTCAGATTACAGATGATCAATGTGTACCACTGACTCTGTGTCAGAAGATTTCAGATTGCCAGCTGGGTCCTGACACTGACTTAGTCTCTGATTTATTTCTGTAATACTCCTCTTTTGGCTAGATATAGTGATTTTTTTTTTTAATTCTTTGTAGTAATATAAAGTTTCTAATACAAAATAAAGCTAGTAACTGGAAGTATAGCTCAAATGGTATAATACCAGCCAAGAGAGAGCATAAGGCCCAGTACCTGGCACAAAAAATATAAATAAATAAAACAAAAATAAATCTAGTTCCACCAGGAAACAAAGCACTTGCCTGTAGCACCAACTTATTTGGGAAACTAAAGCAGGAGAATCACTTGAGCCTGGAAGTTTGAGACCAGCCTAGGCAACAGACTCTATCATTAAGATAGTCTATCCTAATAATATGAAATGAAGTCTTGATTTAATTCAAATAACAATGTAGAAGCAAAACTGGCCATGGGGAAAATGGAATTCCAGGACCTGGTGGTGATGTCAGGATGGCTTTTGTAGGGAAACCTTCAACTCCCATGTTCTCCCACTGCCTCTGCCCTAATGTTCACTCTGGGCTCCCAGGATTCCTGCCAGGGCTCTCATTCCACAACACACACACACAACACACACACACACACACACACACACACACACACACACACACACACATACGGGCTGTATTGCACTGTATCCCCACAGCCTTGATCACACACACACACACACACACACACGCACACACACACGGGCTGTATTGCACTGTATCCCCACAGCCTTGATCACAGAAAGCAGCTGTAAATGTTCCTAAGCCAAACAATCAAGTGAGAGGAAAAGACCAAGAAAAAAGCACCAACCACAAAGCAACCAAGGCCCAGAGAGTCCTGCCTGCTTCTCAGACCAAGCCCAAACCCAGACCCAACTGACACTTACCCGGTCAGAGTCCTGGGGACCCCCATGAGACGTTCCATCAGGATTATAGTGCTCCCCACAGCTAAGGAGGAAAGGGGACAGTGTGCAGCCAAACAACAGCTCACAGGCAGGAAGTCCACCTTCTTCCTCTACATACACGTGTTTGTATTTCATTCCTACATGTATTGAGTTATGTGTGCCTTTATTCACCAATCAGGCCTACGACTCTGGGTCAGGCTTTGGGAAAAGGGCACCAAGAAGAATCACATGTGAATTCTGCACTCTGTTTATTGTCCAGGACAGACAAAGAGGAGTAAATAATTAATAGATGCTTTTCCCTTCATGTATCTACCTCAGATGTTTTCTTTGTATGTGTATGCCGGTACTTGAGCTTGAACTCAGGACCTAGGCACTCCCTTCAGCTTTTTCACTCAAGGATGGTACTCTACTACTTGAGCCACAACTCCTCTTATGCCTTTCTTTCTGTCGGTCGTGGGGCTTGAATTCTGGGCTTGGAGGCTGTCCCTGCACTCTTCAGCTTAAGGCTAGCGCTCTACTGCTTTAGCCACCGCCACTTCCAGTTTTCTAGTGGTTTATTAGAGATAAGAGTCTCATGGACTTTGAATGGTGATCCTCAGATCTCAGCCTCCTGAGTAGCTAGGATTACAAGCATAAGCCACTGGCACCTGGCTCTCTTGTGCCTTTTTGATGGTTAATTGGAAATAAGAGTCTATTCATAGGCTTTCCTGCCAGGACTAGCTTCAAACTGTGATCCTCAGAGCTCAGACTCCTGAGTAGCAAGGATTACAGATGTGCACCACTGGCTCTTGGTTTCTACCTCAGATCTTGATTCAAATCCTAACTCTACCTTTGACATCCTCTGGAGCCTTTTGTAAGTCACTGACCTCTTTGGGCCTGAGTTTCCTCATCTGTAACCTGGGCAGGTTACGGATGCCCCCCTGGGGAACTTGTAAAGACATAGGGTGAACATGTATAGGCTGAGGACAATATGAGAGACATTACAGATGACCTACCTGTTGCAGTCCTTTGTGAGGTCTCCATATTGATGGACATGGAGTCCATGTAGCCCAGGCTCCAGGCCATCGATAGTTCCCTCGATGAGGCAGTGATCAGGGGTAAGCTGGAGGAAGCGTACCACCCCCTGCACAGAGCCAGATCCCCCCAGGATGGCCACTGCTGCCCCCAGATTCTCTGTAAGGTATAAGATATTCGGTTGCTTGCCATCCCACCTAACCCCACCCCTTCAGCTAAGGAAGGACAGGGAAAGTCTCACAGAGCTTTCCCACCTTCCCCAAAGCCATCCAACACAGAGCCCAAGGATCCTATGGTTATATTTGTATCAGTTTTAGGTTAGCGTGTGTGTGTGTGTGTGTGTGTGTGTGTGTGTGTGTGTGTGTGTGTGTGTGTGTGTGTGTGTGTGTGTGTGTGTGTGTGTGTGTGTGTGTGTGTGTGTGTGTGTGTGTGTGTGTGTACACATGTATGCCTGTGCTGGTTCTGTCCCTGAGCTTTCTTTGCTCAAGGTTAGTGCTCTAGGACTGTAGTAACAATTCCACTTCTGTCTTTAGTGCCAGGGCTAGCTTTGAATCTCAATCCTCAGATCTCAGCCTCCTGAGTAGCTAGGATTACAGGTGTGAGCCACTGGCACCAGCTTAGGCTACCTTCTTTCGGAGGGACCAAGAACAAGTCCATGTGCTTACTCACCTAAACGGCTGCTGCCCATGCCCTTGAGAACCGCCTGCCGCCCAGTGGCTTCCAGGAGTGCCTGCACCTCCTGGCTGGTGAGAGTGGTCTGCACCAAGACCATCTGTTTCTCCAACTGCACCTCCACACTCTGGACACCTGGTGAGTAAGAGAGAAGGGAAGAGGCAGCAGCAGACTGGCATCCTGTGTCGGCAGCAAGAGAGACAGCAATTCTCCAGACCTATCTCTACCAAGCTTCCTATGACCTGTGACCTTGAGTCCTTATTACATACCAGATATTGTTTATGACTTTTTTTTCTTTGGGTCCAGTCATGGGGCTTGCACTCTGGGCCTGGGCGCGGTCCCTCAGCTCTTCAGCTCAAGGCTAGCACTCTACCACTTGAGCCACAGCGCCACTTCTGGCTTTTTTCTTTTTTGCTTATGTGGTGCTGAGGAATCGAACCCAGGATCTCATGCATGCAAGGCAAGCGCTCTACCACTGAGCCACCTTCCCAGACCCTTATTTATGACTTTTAAAGTTTTTTTTGTGCTAGTACTGGGGCTTGAACTCAAGGCCTAGGCACTGTTCCTTAGCTTTTTCACTCAAAGCTGGCACTCTACTACTTGAGCCACAGTTCAACATCCAGCTTTTTTGTTGTTGGTAGTTAATTGAAAATAAAGAGTCTCAAGGATTTCTCTGCCCAAGATGGCTTTGAATCGTGATCCTCAGATCTCAGCTTCCCAAGTAGTTAAGATTATAGGTATGATCCACCAGTGCTGGGCTGAGAATTATATTTTTATAAAACTGTTATAAACTTTTTTTTTTTTGGGTCCGGTCGTGGGGCCTGAACTCTAGGCCTGGGTACTGCCCCTCAGCTCTTCAGCTCAAGGCTAGCGCTCTACCACTTGAGCCACAGCATCACTTCTGGCTTTTTTATTTTTGCTTATGTTGTGCTGAGGAATCGAACCCAGGGCCTCAGGCATGCAAGGCAAGCACTCTACCACTGAGCCACCTTCCCAGCCCTGTTATAAACATTCTAAAGTAGGAGGAGCCAGGCACAGTAGCTCACACCTGTAATTTTAACTACTCAGGAGGCTGAGATCTGAGGATTAGGGTTCAAAGCCAGCCTGGGCAGGAAAGTGTATGAGATTCTTATCTCCAGTAAACTACTCAGAAAGAGCCAGAAGTGGCACTGTGGCTCAAATGGTAGAGCGCTAGCCTTGAGCAAAAAGAGACTCTGGGACAGCACCCAGGCCCCAGGCCCAGCAAAAACTTAAAATAAAAAAATAAAAATAAATAGAGTAGGGAGGTGACAGCCACCAGCTGAGCATATGCTGTGGGCTAGTTCCTCCTTGATGTTTTTTCTGTATTGCATCATTTGATACTAATAGTAATCTCCCCTCCCCCCCAACCTGGTCATGGGGGCTGAACTCTAGGCCTGGGCCCTGTTCCTTAGCTCTTTAGCTCTTCAGCTGGCACTCTACCACTTGAGCCGCAGCACCATTTCTGGCTTTTTTCTGCTTATGTGGTGCTGAAGAATTGAACCCAGAGCCTCATGCATGCGAGGCAAGCACTCTACCACTGAGCCAACTTCCCATCCCTAAAAGTAATCTTTTGAGTTTGATGATATCATCACTATTTTACAGATGAGGTTATTGAGGCAGAGTAGTTAAGAAATTTGCTCAAAGTCACATTGTAGAGGGGTGCTAGTGGCTCTCCTGCCTGTAATCCTAGCTACTCAAGGAGACTAATATCTGAGGATTGCAGTTCAAAGCTAGGCCAGGCAGAAAAGTCCGAAAGACACTTATCTCAATTAACCAGCCAAAAGCCAGAAGTGGAGGTGTCGCTCAAGCCTTAAGTGAAACCAATGGAGAGGGGAAGAGGGCAAGACCCCGAGTTCAAGCCCTAGTACTAGCACCAAAACACAAACAACAACAACAACAAAAATCCCATTGTATGAAGTTGTGAAGATAAAAGTCCAAATGGCCTAGCTCCAGAGTATAAGGACTTAATCCATACATTCTGTTCAATATACAAAGAGCTCAGGGCCTGGGCACTGTTCCTGAGCTACTTTTGCTCAAGGCTAGCCACAGCACCACTTCTGGTTTTCTGGTGGTTAATTGAAGAGTCTCATGGACTTTCCTGCCCAGGCTGGCTTTGAACCATGATCCTCAGATCTCAGCCTCCTGAGTAGCTAGGATTATAGGTGTGAGCCACCGGTGCCCAGCTAACTTTTTTTGTTTATGTGGTACTGAGAGAAATAAAACCCAGGACTTCATGCATACTAGGTAAGCACTCTACCACTAGGCCACATTCCCAGCCCTGAACACATATTTTAATCCTCTGCTTCACTCTGTAGGCTCCGTCAGTACAGCTCTTGAGTGGTCCCCAAAGTCAAGCTCAAAGTTGATGTGTCAAAAGAGGAGTTTATGAAGTCCCTATTGCCCTTGAAACTCTGCAGTCACCACTGTATACAAAGCGTATGGAATGATTTTCACACTCCCTTGAAAAAGCGTCACATCCTTTTCATGCCACATTATCTGAGTTATGATTTTAAAAAGCCACTATGGCTTTTATGTGAAAAAACTACAGGAAGAGCAACAGAACAGGGAGCTCATAGATGGAGCCTTTATACAAGGTAGGGAAAAGAGAGGTGCAGAATTAGTGTAGAGGTCTGATAGCTAAGTTTTGGCTTAGATGGGTTCACAGATCCTGAGGTCTCCCAAGAGGATCTAATTGTCTGCTCCAGAAGCAGGCAGGCCTGAGGTAGGACTCTCCTTGTCACTATGCTCTTCCTGAACTCCTGACCTGAGCTGAAACCAGAAGAAGACTAGCTTTCTTCTAAGGCAGCAGGTCTATTTGGCTGATAAACCTTGAAATGTTTGGTTAGATCAGGTCCCAGGGAGGAGAAGAGGCCACAGAAACTACAGGGAGGGTGCTAAGGGATCAAAGGGGCAAGCCTTGGTCTGGAAGCTCCTCCTACTTACCCCTGAAAGAAGAGGTCTGGAAGCTCCTCCTACTTACCCCTGAAAGAAGAGCAAAGTCATTTTCCCAAGGATCCAAGCAACTCTCTGCCTCTAGAATCTGAAAACTTCAACTCCCCTGCCAGGCCCATGAGAAAGACAAGCTGGTTCCAGTTACCCAGATGGGAAAATAAAGTCATCAGAAGTCTTTTGCCTAAGAAACCTGCTAAGAGCTGAAAATTAGCCTGAGTCCCACAAAAAACAGTCCACTATCTGCTCTCCCAGCAAGAATGTTTTTAACTTAAGAGAAGGGCCTAACATTTGGGTAAATCTTTAGTCAGAATATCCATTCTTAGCTAGGCACTAGTGGCTTACACCTGTAATCCTAGCTACTCAGGAGGCTGAGATCTGAGAATTGAAGGTTCAAAGCCAACCTGCGCAGGAAGTCTGTGTGACTCATATCTCCAATTAACCACCAAAAAGCCACAAATGGAGCTGTTGTAGAGTTCTATCCTTGAGCAAAAGAAGCTCAAGGACAGCACCCAGGCCCTGAGTTCAAGCCACAGGGTAGCCCGAGAGAGTGGTGGGGGAAGAGGAAAAAGAGAAAAAACTCAGTCGAGAGTTCTGACAAGGCAAGCTTGAGACCAATACTCTACAGTTTTCCCTCCATGTCTTTGGTGTGACTCTAAAAACGCTCCTTTCACTCTCTACCAGTTTCTCATCTGTAAAATGGGACTTGAGCTGGACTGATCTGATCCTTTCCAGAATCTTCCAGATAACCGGAAGAACGCATAGTCCTGGCTCTTACCTGTCACCCCTTTCAAGGACTTTTGCACCGCGTCCACGCAGCTCTGACAGGTCATCTGCACGGCGAACTCCAGCTGCGAGGGCGACAGGGACCCCCAGGTGAGAGCTGGGGACGTTCCCCGCAATCCTAGCTACTATTTCACCACTTTCCCCATGTTTACACCAAATTCTGGGCATAGCATAGATGCCGCACCCGGTCCCCGGTCAAACCCTTCCTGTATCTTCCGATCCTTCCAGGCCCCGCGGTCTCACCCCACCCCTCGGCTCACGACCCGGGCCTGGCGGCCGAGCGCCAATTTCATTCCCGGGTTGCAGGCCCTGCCCCAGGAGTCCGCTCCTTCCCAGGATACCGACCACCCAGGGGCTGGCTGTGCCGCTCGAGCTTCCGACTCGAAGCCTCCACTCTCACCGTGCATTGGGACTCGCGGTCCCCTGAGTCCGAAGCCATCCCGGATCGAGGCACCCGCCGCCCAGCTCCCCAGCTCGGCGTCCAGCCGCCGGCCAAGCGCGGTGACGCGCAGGGGCGGAGCCTCGGAACCACCCGCCGTCCCGCCTCTTGGCGCATGCGTCCATCTGGCCCTGGCCGGAAGTCTTCCGGAGGCAAGTATAGGTCGCGCAGGCGCACTGGAGCCATCGAGTCTGGTTGCCTTAGTAACTGTTTGGCGTCCTCGGCCGGGTGCTCGCGCGGGCCTCGCCTTAGCCAAGATGGAGCCCGAGGAGCCAGAGCCTGAGTTTCAGCAGTTTTACCATCAATTACTGAATCCGCTGTCGCTCTTCTCAGAGGAGGAGGAGCCCCCAGAGTCTGAGCGCCGCCAGGAGGAGGAGACAGTGCAGACTTTTTCGATCGCCAACCTGCAAGCGGCGCAGCTTTGCAGCCAGGTGTCCGAACTGCTGGCCGGCAGCGGGTTGGCGGCGCAGGTGTCCCGCAGGGACCGACGCCGGCTCACCGAGGTTATCCTGGACGAGCTCAAATGCAGCTGGCAGGAACCTCCCCCCGAACCGGGGCTCAGCTACAGGAACTACGTGAAGCTGCGGAAGCGGCTGGAGTCCTACGTGCTGCTCTGCAGTGAGCAGCTCTTCCTACGCTATCTGCACCTGCTGGTGACCATGCCCAAATACAAAGGGGTCTTCACCGAGTCAGCCACTCTGGCCCGGCTGGTTGCCAGCCTGGCCAGGGACTGCACGATCTTCCTCACTAGTCCCGCCGTCTACAAGTGCTTGCTGAAGGATTTCTTGGCCCTGTTAAACCTCCAGCCGACCCGTGAAGTCTTGGCCAAGCTGCATCCCGTCTGTCCCTCTGGGTCTTTCAAGCTCTGCCCCATCCCCTGGCCTCACAGCACCGGCTTCGCCAAAGTGCCTTGCTCTCGTCTCAACCTGAGCTACCTCGTCCAACTCAGCCGCCCACCAGAGTTTCTGCGTGAACCCCCACCCGACCCAGTGAAGGAACTGAAGAATCTCCTCAGATTTAAGTTGAAAAGGCCTCTGCAATGGCTGTCCCCTCTAAAACAGATGAAAGGAGTCCAAAAGATACCACTGCCTAGCCATTCCAGGACTCCCACCAGTACCTCTTCCATCTCCCTCCATCCTCCTGTCTACTCCCAGCTACAGAGAGGCCAGTCCATGCCCTCTCTTCGTGAGGGTTGGAAGCTGGCAGATGAGTTGGGCCTTCCTCCATCCCCCACTCGCCCTTTAACCCCGCTGGTCTTGGCTGCAAAAAGCAAACAGCCAGCTGAAGACTTTGGGGCTGAGGATCTGAAGCAGAGAGTAAAGAAGATGACCTGGGAGTGCACTCACCACTCAGTACTAGAGTCTGGACTGCCTCCACTCTTGGGAGTCGTGACTCACAGACTACCTGCAGGGCCGCACCTGGAGGAGCTGCAGAGAACATTGAAGAACCTCCAAGAGGAAGAAGCCTCTGGACAGTGGGACCTCCAGACCCCTAAACGCCCCCCACTGCAACCGCAGCCAACGACCATTACTTTGAAGCTAAAAAATCAGATGGTGGTCCAAACAGCTACTATGAGGATCTCTGATAGATACTTTTTGGACTCTTTCCATGTCCAGGGGGCTGGAGTCCTGTACAATCATCTGACAGGTGAACTAGAGTCTAAAATCATTGAAGAAATGGATGTTGATCACTTCATCGGTGATAACACCAAGGAGATCTATGCAGAATTAATGAGCCGCGTTTCTACCGACCACTTCCGCTTTGACCAAGGACCCCTGGTTGAGCCTGCAGCTGATAAAGACTGGTCAAGCTCCCTCATCTCAGCTGCTTTACGCAAAGAAAAGAAAAATCGAATCATCAACCCTGATTTGACTGGACTTTACTCTAGGAAAACCAATTCTCACCACACCAATTCTGAGGCAATATCTTCTCTCACACAAGCCTACACAATGAAAAACTTAGATGCAATCAAGAAAGGCTTTGTATCTGTAGACAACTACTTCCAGTACCTCAACAGCCAGGAAACAGATTACCTTCATGTCATTTTCAATATGTATGAGGAAGATGTTCCTGTGGTGGTACAGCCCCAGGTCAAAGAGTCCCTCGAGATTCCCCATCCTCCTCCCTTGCTAGAAGATGAAGAGCCAGACTTTGTGCCAGGAGTGTGGGATTGGCACACAGTGCTGAAGCATAGTCAAGGAACCAGTAAAGTCTCTGTCTTGAGCCTGCAGAATCGTCTGGAACGGCTGTGGTCTCTATATGAGGTCCCTGAAAAGGCCCGGCTGGACATGATCATCAAGTACAGCTCCAATGCTCGTCTACAACAGCTGCCAGTTTTGCTGAAGGCCTGGGAGCGGGCCCTGAAGCCCATTCAGATGCGGGAGCTGTTGCTAGCGAGACTGGAGTGGTTTGAGCGGCAAGCCTCTGACCCAAACCGCTTCTACGAAAAGACTGACTCGGGTCTTGGTCGGCTCCTGGAGGAGAATCAGCTTCGCAGCCATCTCCACAGAGAGCTCAATTTAATAGAGGCTCCTTTGGTTTCCCTTCTGCAGGAGATTGAGGTCATATTTGGGGAGCCTCTGACCTTCAAGGGGCGACGTTACCTAGACAAGATGAAGCAGGACAAAGTAGAGATGCTTTACTGGCTCCAACAGCAGCGACGGATTCGCCACCTGATCCAGACCCAGAAGACTCCCCACCACTCATCCCTGTTCAATGAGCACAGCAACCTGTCTTCAATAGCTCCTAAGAATACTCCGTTACCTAACCTGCCCACTTCCAGGCCAAACACCTCAGATTCTTCCCCTAACCCCAAATACTCAAGAGCTTTTCCAGATTTCTGATGGTTTCAGAAGTATGGCTAGATCTGTCTGGGAGTGCATGGCTGAGGCATGAGGGGTTGAGATTAAGTCTTTGTTTTGACAGTAAAATTCACCCCCAGACCCCCCCCCAAAATCCCAAGCCCAATATCTCTATTTATGTCAACAACCTTGTCTAATACAACCCAAATGTCCTTTCAAATGAATGGAGGCTGTCCTTTGGTGTTTATTGTAATGTAGAAGGTCATACAGAAGTAAACTGTGACCTTGAACAAGTCAGTTTATTTATTTTGGCAAGGTTTGAACCTTGCCTTATACTTGATGGGCAATTGTTCTACCTTTTGAGCCATTACCCCACCTCCCCAGCCTTAGTTTCTTTCTGGTCCTGGGGCTTGAACTCAGGGCCTGGGGACTGTCCTTTAACTTTTTTCACTTAAGGCTTGTGCTATACTACTTGAGCCACAGCTTCACTTCCAACTTTTTGGTGGTTACTTGGAATCTCATCAGCTTTCCTGCCTGTGCTGCCTTTGACCCTCAATCCTCACATCTCAGCTTCCTGAGTAGCTAGGATTATAAGAGTAAGCCACCAGTGCCGGGTGTCTTCAGAGTGTGGTTAAGCTGGGATAACCCTTCAAATCTGTCAGTAAATAAGCCCTCTCAGGAAAGGGGCATGTTTCTACAGCAAAGGAAATGCCCTAACTGAAACCCACTGGCAATACTCTGAGTAGACTGATACTAGATCCTTTTCTGAACCCATACCTGGTCTATTTATGGTAGAAGAGGTGTGCCTAGCAGAGAGGAGGTGAGAGGGTACAGAGATCCTGCCCAACACCCAGGATCAAATCTCAACAGTGCCACCGTGTGACAATAAGAAGTCATAACAGTAGTGAACCCTTACCTAGCAAGGAAAAGGTTAAATTAAATATATTAGCCTCATGCCCTTGCTGAGCTTCTTCCATTCAAGGAAAAAGTATTCCTTCCTCCCCCGTCCCTGGACACCCAGCTTTTTGCTAGTTAGAGATAAAAGTGTCTTATTTGTTTGCCTGGTGTGGCTTCAAACTGCCACAACCCTCAGATCTCAGCCTCCTCAATAGCTAAGATTAAAGGCCTGAGTCACTGGTACCTGGCTGCATATATTTGTTGAAGAGATAAAATACATTGTAAAAAATCAAAGAAAATTTTCCTGGGTTCAAACCCTAATACCACTTCTCATTAAAAAAAATCATGGAAAAACAAAATGGAAGCAATTTACATTAACGAAATCTACGGGCCAGGCGCTGGTGGTTCATGCCTGTAATCCTAGCTACTCAGAAGGCTGAGATCTGAGGATCGAGGTTCAGATCCAGCCCAGGCAGGAAACTCCGTGAAACTCTTATATCCAATAAACCACCAGAAAACCGGAAATGGCACTGTAGCTCAAGTGGTAGAGTGCTAGCCTTGAGCTGAAGAGCTGAGGGACAGCACTCAGGCCTAGAATTCAAGGCCTACGACCGACAAAAACAAAAAAAAAGAAATCTACGGGGGGCTGGGAAGGTGGCTCAGTGGTAGAGTGCTTGCCTAGCATGCATGAAGCCCTGGGTTCAATTCCTCAGTACCTCATATACAGAAAAAGTTGGAAATGGCGCTGTGGCTCAAGTAGTAGAGTGCTAGCCTTGAGCAAAATGCAGCTCAGGGACAGTGCCCAAGCCCTGAGCGGAAGCCTCAGGAACGGTTAAAAAAAAAAAGAAAAGAAAAGAGGGCTGGGAAGGTGGCTCAGTGGTAAGAGAGCGCTTGCCTTGCATGCATGAGGCCCTGGGTTCGATTCCTCAGCACCATATAAGCAGAAAAAAACAGCCGGAAGTGGCGCTGTGGCTCAAGTGGTAGAGTGCTAGCCTTGAGCTGAAGAGCTGAGGGCCAGCACCCAGGCCCCAGCGTTCAGGCCCCAAGACCAGACCCTCCCCCCAAAAAAAAGAAAAGAAAAAAATAAATCTACGTTCCTGCATACATATACTCATCATCATACTAAGAGATAACAAAGAATCACTGTGAACTAGAACTTCTCTACATACAGCCAGATAGACACGTTCTGCTTCCAGAGACCCAGTGTTCTGAAATGGTGAACAATCCTTCATGAGGGATCTGAACTGGTACAAGGAAAATTCTTCCTCTGATACACAAGTTATAGCATTCCTGGAAAATACAGGCTGTGTTAAAATTGTGCCCATAATATTATGTGTTTACAGTTCAGGTTCTCGGTGCAGATAATTATA